TGATCGATTTTGGACCATTTTCACACCTTTTGGAAAAATATGCATTATTTATAAAACTTGAAAAATGGGTGTTTTTGTCCAAAAAGCATAGACTATAGCCCATGGTTTTGATCGATTTTGGACCATTTTCACACCTTTTAGAAAAATATGAATTATTAATGATACTTGAAAAATGGGTGTTTTTGGGCAAAAAGCATGGACTATAGCCCATGGTTTTGATCGATTTTGACCAATTTTTATACCTTTTTTAAAATTATGAATTATTTATGAGGGATACAAAATAACCCATTTTGAGCCGCTTTTGCCCCAAAAGCATGGACTATAGCCCATGTTTTTGATCGATTTTGGACCATTTTCACACCTTTTGGAAAAATATGAATTATTYATAAAACTTGAAAAATGGGTGTTTTTGGCCAAAAGGCATGGACTATAGCCCATGGTTTTGATCGATTTTGGACCATTTTCACACCTTTTTTAAAATTATGAATTATTGATGAGGGATGCAAAATAGGTCATTTTGGGCCATTTTTGGCCAAAAAGCATGGACTATATCACATGGTTTTTGACTCGTTTGTGAATAATTTTCTGGGGGTTTTTTATTGAATAAATAGAGAACGAGTGCGCGTGTTTTGTAGAGTTTTACAAGCGCTCGAGAAATTGTGCGTGTCCGAGAGAAGTGCTAGGAGAAGCACGTGCCGTAGGGCACGGAATTTCCCAAGTGCTTGTATAACTCAACATAGCACACATAGATTTTTTTCTCTATTATAAAATAATTAAGATATAAGTAAAGATTAACTCAAAAGATGCTTGCGTTACTGACGTCATTTCCTCRCGATCTATGTTGAGTCATATGAAACGGTAATTGATCAATCATAGCACGCGTTATATCTTAGTTATTTTATAAATCCCGATATAAACACATTAGCCAGTCCATCAGCGCATGCGTTATATTTCGTAGTAACATCTCGTACCCAGAGCCTGCGTTTCTTCTGGTTAACGGCGAAGAACGAGGGCTCTGACATAATCCATTTTCTGAGACCAGGATTTCCTGGACTTCCGTTATAAGAGCGCATGCGTTAAAAGACGTAAAAAATATGTTCCCGATTTCTAATTTTTATTTTGATCGGAAGTTAACACAGAACTCTGTTTRAAAGCATGATTTTCCTGTTTCATTATTTTTAAATATGATAAAACTTACAGAAAATTCCGCATGCGCCAAAAAGGGATTATGCCAGAGCTCTCGTATTTCACCGCAGGCTAGAAGAAACGCAGGCTCTGGGTACGAGATTGCTCCCGCTCGGACCCAAGGCCTGCTCGAGCGGAGCACCATACTTACGTCACTTACGTCCGTTCGTACGTCCATTTAAACCACAGGGGAYCCGCTTGATTTCAAAGCAAAGCAAAACTCTCGAGTCCAAATTTTTTGGAACAAAAACGACAGCAAAAAGGGGGGGGGAAATATGTAGAAGAAAATTTCAAGAAGTGTTCTTCAAGTGTTTTGTTCAGTTCAACTCCTATCTGGTCCTATCGGCAAATCAAATTAGTCTTACGCCAAGTATTCGCCATTTATGTAGCTTACATTTGAATGCAGGGCTACATCTTTCGTAAAATTCACTCTCTAGTTTGTCGACAGGAAAATTTAGTTCTAGATATGAACTTGTTTTACAGTTCAACCCGGGACTTTTTAAAACCTTTCAAACAATTTTTTTACATAACATTTGCTTATTGGAATTAGTTCTTATACGAAAAAAAAACTTAATAAAAGCATTACAACCGTCAGCTAGACACAAAACGGAAAATGGGAGCTACTATGTTGTTCTTAATAAAGACTAATGGATTACACTATGGCGGATTAAAAATGGAAAAAAATTATAAGACAAATTATAAGGTAATCTATATAATCGAGTATCTTAAGATATAAATAAATAAAAACAGAAATCAAATACATCGTTGGGTAACTATAAAGTTGGTCACCCATCCAGGTGCTAATCACACTCAAACGTGCTTGACTCAGTGTCTTGGAAGCCCAAGTTTTTCCACTGGGCCACAATTTCAGGAAATTAGCACAACAATAGCCATGAAAACAATGCACTAGATAGACTAGATTATTTYCCACTTCAAATCAACGTACCAGTGCTGGGCAGAGATGCAAGGGATAAGCTGTTGATATGGTCTGGGGGCCGGCTAGTCTCTCACCTGATGCTTCGGCTAGAACACTTTCATGCGTAATTCGTACACCCAAGGGCAGAGGGATTTAATTGCCGTCATGTCTGAAGTCCATACGACGCCCCAGCCGAAGTCTCGGGGTATGGCATGAAGGCACTYTTTTTTTTCTTTTTTATTATAGAATGAATTAAGTAATTAAAGTTGGTGGACGATGGTTCTATTCCCACCGCATTAAGAGTACCTTTTTCTTCTTCTTCGTTTCCTCTAGTCTTAGATTACATTAGATTATATATATATACACACACACACACTTGATTGCAGAAAGGTTGTAGTATACATTTAAACAAATACCTAATTTATTCAGTATATTTAATGATATGCAAAACAGAAAACTCACTTTATTTATTATTTGTTTCATTCAATGAACGTCATAATATTGTATTCTCGTGTTTTATATCCTACAGATTATGAATCAATTGGTTTTGAGGGTTAAGAAAGTAAAATTGCAATATGCATCTCATTAGGTATACTACAACGTTTCTGCAATCGAGTGTATATATATATATATACATATAGCCATTTGCAACTGAAAATTAAGGTCGTTTCAAATATACGTACAAGTATATCAAAAGTATATTACACACGTCGGGATATCTTTCTTAATATTTCTTTTATAAAGTCCTAGTGTTAGACAACTCGAAAAAAATTTTCACCTCTAAAGGGTTCTAGCAATATTTGGACTAAAAATATATACCCGAAAAAAATATTCTTTAATAGTTATATAAGGCATTAATTTTGACTTACTCTTTATAATCATTGATTCCAGCCGCTACATCTTGATATAAAATCCTTCTCTCATTCTTAGGGTTAATTCCATCGCTTAAGAATAACATACATGCATCATCGCATGCGGTATTGAAAGTAAAGTTGCCCGTCATTGGCGCCAAGAAGTATGATCTCATGCGTATGCCATAATCCGGTACATTCTCGTTAGTAATATGGAACGACTTGACGTAGTAAGTTTCGTCAGGGCGATTTGGGAACTTCTGGTGGTTTGTGAGATTTTGTATTTTATATCCACCTATATTGATCCATTTCTCCGTGTACACTGGTCCATTTTCTGAAATCAATAAGATTATAAGCTTTTATAATTGATTATTGGAATCAACAGTTGTGTATAGGTAGAGTTCAATCGTCTTTCACCTCTGGGGCTTGGCGTCGATTAATAGACTTGATATCAACGTGTGCGTGAGTATAATTTGCTAGGCCTTCCCATGGATTCCATCCTTTTTCTCAAGGTTCTCCAGTTTCCTTCCCTAAGCAAAACCTAACATGCCATGCCCTAACTTAGATCAGCCCAGAGGTTGTTT